AAAAATAGTTATAAAATATATTATTATTAATATCAAATAGTAATTAAAATGAAATAATAAAATATATTATTACTAATAGTGATACCTAATAGTAGTAATATTATATAAGTAAAAAATGTATATTTATATTTATTTATAATAGTATATGAACGATGATATATATACATAACTAATCAATGAAGGCTAATGTCTTAGAAGTAGATGGTCGTGGGTCGTCCCGGTGGGTTTCATTTTGTTCTTGCGATTCAATACGTTCCACAGAACATACTTTTGCGTTCACTTTTCGGGATAAAATATTGCCATGTACATTTTTTAAATGACCATTCAAATTAGTAGTATTACCTAAAAAAAAAAAATTAATTAAGTTATGATCAATAAAATGTACATTTTCCTAAGAGCTATAGTTTATTAATTGTTTATTTAAATATTTGTTTTCAAATAGTATTGTACCAAATAATTGTATGTTTTGACTTCAATAGTTATAATATCAATACAAATATAATTATAGTTATGGCACCTAACCACATCACAGAAAAAAAAATGTTGGTTTAGTTATATAAAATATAACTATTTATAAATATTATATAAAATACTGTGAATAGGTACTCTACCTGATGTTTTCAGTGTCTTTTGACATATATTACATACTGCGGTTTTGTTGTCTCTTTCATCAAAAAACTTCCACACATCGCTTCGACTCATTTTGATTTTTGAATACAGTTTTACATAAACAAATTACAAAACGCAATTACGCCAATTGGCAATTACAGAACGCAAAAATCCGATGTTTACTCAGTAGTCTGTAATACTCTGTATACACTTTACAGTTTACAGTTTATGAATTACGGTGTTTACGCACTTAATACGCAGGTCACAGAATCTGATAAGACCGTAACACGAGCCACGAGGGAGCGGAATGCGGATGAGTGATATGAGTTTATGAGCGGCGTGCCAATAGAAAAAACAGTGTGGCGCAAAATACAATAAACATGAAAACATGTGTAAAAGTTTTGGTGCGAGTCTCGCACTGCGGTCTGAGAGACAACATTGTAATTTCAAAACATCGATATTTTCTTCGATGTATCAATAACTAAACATCGATGTATCGACCATTAACATCGATGTTTTTTGCCCACCTCTAGTACATTATTATATCACGGACTGTCGTTATAGACGTTTCGCGTCAATGTAGTTGACCGTGGCGTAAATTGTCATCCAAGTATTTCTTACTATGTACTAAAGGTCTGCACGGGCCGATAATTTACAGCCCGGTCCGGCCCGACAATAGTTTTTGACAGCCCGGCCCGGCCCGAGAATTGTTTTTTGTGAGTAAGCCCGGCCCGATCCGGCCCGACAATAGTTTTTGACAGCCCGGCCCGGCCCGGGAATTGTTTTTTGTGAGTAAGCCCGGCCCGATC